AATAATCTCTAGTTTTCCAGAGTTGCCATCGAAAGTAGTGCTTATTTTATATTATTCTTTTGCGACATGCTTACAAAAGAAAAGGGATGTTATCAATTTAAAGATCAGGACGGCTTTAATACAACAGGTTTACATAAAGGTATGTTCTTATAAACTCAAATAATCACCAATATTAAACTTTTTATCAAATTTCTGTTTTATTTATCGTATGTTAATGAATTATATCATTTGGTTTTTTCTTTTGTAAGCATATCACAAAAGAAGAACCACATATTTTAAAAATAACATATCAAACAACAACACTGCTGGCTTATTTAGTGCAACGTTTTTGAAGTCGCTTAACTAATAAGCAACTCAAATCGCATGGTTGCCAAGACTAAAAATTTGTCCATTGTGAACGATTTTAGGAAGTGCGTTCACAATTTCCATGTCAATATTTGACAAATAATATTCAATTATTTTTAATTTACTACTGTTTTCTATTAACATTGAAAAAGCCTATTATTACTGTACCTATTTTAAACACAATAATTAAAGCAATGTTACCTAACACTTAAACGAATAACACGTTTTATATCCGTACTAATTTCACACTTCTAACACATTTTAACTGTTATTTCAAAAAATTAACTACAAGATTTACAAAACATTTCAAGCAAGTCACGTTCTTATAATATGCTTTTATAAAAAGCATTTCGAAAACATTTCTTAACTATTAAAATTGCTACAAAGTTTGTGTTAAGAAAAACTTATTAAATTAAATTTCAACATTTTCCACACAATTGTTCTAAAAATGTGGTAAATAAAAAGGTACCGCAATCGTTAAGCAGTTATTTTTTCCTTAAACAGCCTTAAACTTGGTCGCCAAAGCAATCGAAAGACGTGCCAAACTTCAATTATTTAAATTCAAATCCTTAAAATAACTTCTGCAACTTTCCAGCTCGTATACACACTCATTTTATTATTCGTCGCTTTTACACACAACAACAGGACATTTCGTCTGTGTAAAGCCGAAAGCAGGCTTTTTCTTATGAATCCAGCAAAAACTGGCTGGAGAATAGGTATATACCAAGTTATTTGTGAAAATTACAAGTTGCGGAGTCTGTAATTTATTGGGTGTACAATATTCTGAAAATCCCACTAAATTGGTTGGAATTTATTTATTTTGTTTACAAGGTAAGTGAGGAAATATTTCCGTTTAATGAATGTATTTCAATGTTTTGAACCGGTGATGAATAAATATTTCGACAAGATTAAGTAGAAGTAAACAAAGTCAATAATATACACATCAAAAGAAAAGCACTCAATTTAAATATTTATAAGGAATTGTTTAGTAATATATATACATAAATAGTGTATTAGAATTTTTTGTTGTTTTATTCAAATAATATTTTCTTACACTTGTGAAATTTTGGCAGTTTAAGTGTAGGGCTACAGAATTCATGACAGAAATCATTACTTAAATAAATAAACAATAAGATTTACATGCATTATTATTTTAGTGTATCTGTCTGTGTGAAAAACAGCGATTAAGAAAGGTGGGATATGTGATAAGAATGCCGGATGTGAGAGTACCGCTTAAGATTTATGGGAATGAAGTAGGAACCAGCAGAAGAAGCAGGCGATAAAGAAAGCGATGGAAAGACAATGTGCAACAGAATTTAGAAGAAATGTACATAAGAAATTGGTAAACAAAAGCAAATATCAGAGAAGAATGGAAGACTGTTGTTAAACAGGTTAGCTCCTACATGGACTATATAGTCACGGATGATAATGAACTGTTTGAAATAGTTATACATATTCGTTATGATACGGATAACAACAAAACAATCAATATTATCAGCTTCATTAAGAATACACTGAGGTAAAGAAAACAAATAATTACAGAGTTGATTGTATACTCTTAATAAATTTTCACATAATCAAACAACCAACAAACATTCAGATAGTTCATAGTCTTACGGGTTTTAATTTAAAGAATATTTCAATAATAATGAAAATAAATATTATTTATATTAATAATACAATATCAATAAAAATAATATATAATAATAATAGTATATAATAATAGTATATAATTATGTATTATATAGGCAATTCGTTTGCTTCAAATTGTAAGATATTTTGTCTTCTACGAGTTGGTGACGCATACTGCAACCAAATGACCCACAAACTGCACGAGCTTTATCACGACATTGATTAACATCCAGTGGCTTCACTGACTTGAGAATAGATGAAGATACTTCAATGGAAAAGATATTTGAAGTGTTAGTTGGAGTAGGAAGATGTAAAAATAGACTGTGTCGCCAGTGGAGTCATCAAGTTAAAGAAGTTCTAACCATATGGCTTGATATGGGAGACTGGAAATCGGCAACTCTATTATTAACTAAAATTTGTCAAAACAATCATAAATAATAAAGAAACCCTAATTCTAAATGTGAAATTTGGTAGTAAACAAATAAAGACAACCGATTTCCCTAGCTTCTAGGAACGGTCATTGACTGTTCCGCTAAAAGTTTTATGAGCAGAAAGATTAGTGTGCGTTAACAAAAAGATAAGGCAGCACGATGAATACCCTACAAACACATTAAAAGATAGATTGAGATATAGAAAAATGGACGCTTACATAAATAGACAAATGAACAATTAAACAAATAGGACTTAATGATAGACAAACTGAATTATTTACAAATGGAAACATAGATATATAAATATATAGGCGCATAGACTAATACATAAACATAGAAACTGTCTAATACACAGACACAAGCAGATTCATCAAAAACTAAGCAAATTGAAAGCCTGCGGTATTGACAAATAGACGTTTAAGCAAACAAATAAAGAATTCGACAAATAGACAAACAAAAATAAAAATGTATTAGAAATAGAAATAGAAATAGAGAAATTTTCATAAAAAACATAAAAGGCAGAGAAATTAACACATCCATAAAAAGGTGCATTGACGAATAAAGAAATAGACAAACTGAGATATTGAAATTCAAACAAATAGACCAATAAACAAATGAGCAATTAGACAAATAGAAAAATGAAAAAATAAACAAATAGACAAACAGATATGTAAAGAAGATGGCATATAGGAAAACAAGCAAATGAACATCGCTGCAGCTTCCATCATATTTGTAAGAAGGATATGTACGAGTATTTTATTGACTCTCCAATTTCACTTTCATGCGTCAAAATGGATAAATGAATATGTTATCCATTTCAGAAAACGAGTTTTTTTTTCTAAATGATTCATATATGTTGTAATTACAATAACCAAATAGCTTTTATTAATAAAAAACAGTATTTATTGTAACACAAACTTTTATTATTTTTAATACAACTTTAGAAACACTAACTAATTGACTGACTGATCAACTGACTGAAAAAATCTGAATAAATATTTTAAATAAAATATTTTTAAATATCAGAGAATCTGACAATTTTAGCCTACTTTGTTGATTCTCACCACATATATTATTTAATTGTAAGATGATATGATTATAATTTACATAAAAAATTAGTTACTTTTATAAGGACTAAACATATATTAATAAAGTGCATCAGACCATAAAAAATGTATAGAACGTAACAATCTAAAAACTAATCAAGAGAGCTGCCAGTTCACATTTTAATAATACCATTGATAATAAATATATTATTAAAGTAATATTATTATTTATATTATTAAATGTTTATGTGAAGGAAATAGAAGATTTTTAGTTGATTTTGACGGATATAATAACTAAAAACTAATCCTTAAAAGTTAAGTTGAAATACATTTTTTTCTCATACAGATATTATAGTTAAGTATTTAAATAACTTTTTTAACGAAAAAATGCAAATTTCAGTAATAATTAGTTTCTCAAAGAAATCCTTTAACAAATTTACCACTTGTTTCGCTTTTTAACCTCAAAATTGTTTACAAACTTTTTCTTTCAGGTTTTCAAAAGGCGACAACCAGTGCAAAAATATTCACTTTAGCAGAACTTTTGCTATAAGTCAAGAACATAATTAAGTCATTTAAACACTGTATAATATAAAAGTCTATTAAGGAAACGAACTCACTTGCAAAACCTCTATTTGAAGAATATTAAGGGCTTCATTAAAGATTGGGAATGATTATAAACGCTTTTGGAATCATCACAATAACTTTAACTTAAGACATGAACTCTTGCACTAATTCCTATATTAGAAAAAACAAAAAATGATATGGATTAAGACTTTCCGGTAAAAAATACCTGTTAATTATGAAATTATAAAGCAAAAGGCACTAAAAATATACAGTCAACTTCAAGAATTGTAACCAACAAACATTCCGAATAAACTAGCAAAAATAAATAAACAGGATGGTTACATTCCAGATCAAATATACAATGCCAATAAAACGAGATTATTTTGGAAGAAAATGTCTGAATAAATTTATGGTACATAGCAAACTCTGAAAAAAATTGGAGCTTCAGCATTAAAAGTTAGTGGAGTCTTGGCTACATTTAGAAAAACACGTTTAGTGATCGCTTCTAATTTGATAGGCACGAGTTCTAAGCCTGGCACTTGTAGTCTAAACAAGTTATATACGGACTATAAAATAATAATTTATAAAGTTATGATTTGAGTATTTGGTAGTGATCGAAACAGCGTTGCATTGTCACCCAAATTACAATAAATTAATTAAAATTTTTGTTGTTTTTTTATTTCAATTCGAACCCTTCTAACTTTTAAATAGTTTCTTTTTGTCATAAGAAAAATTAACATTATTTTTAAATGTTATATGTGTTATTAACTCATTTTCCTTGCAACGGGTCAAACCTTGATCAATTTGACCACTAGAGCTGTTCTTGTTTTTTACTCAGTAAAAAATATGAAGAGCTTTCTTTTAGTATTCTTAGTTTTCTGTACAAGTAATTAAATAAAAATAATTATTATATAACCATAGTAGGCGAACATTTTTTAAAAATTTTAAAATAAAATGTAAGAATAAAATAAATTATAAAATAAACATATACACAAAATTCAGTCGATTTGGCCATAAAAAGTAACAAAATTTCAGTTTTTGTTTGATTCATCATTGATAATAAAATTTAATATCACTACTAAGAATATTCTCTGCTCGAAATTAAGTGGTTTAGTTAAATAAAATGTTTAAAAATAAATGTATAGTAAATGTTTATTCCAGCAATAATGATAAAAATTACTCGCGTTCCGAATTGCTTCACTGGATTAATGATACTTTGTCCACTAATTTGAAGTGCATTGAACAATTAAAATCAGGTCAATATTTTTGCCAGTTGTTTGATATGATTTTCAGAAAAGTTGTGGACTTAAACAAAATTAAATCTGATTCTGTTCATGAACGTCACTATATAAATAACTATAAAATATTACAAAGCGGCTTCAAAAAGGTTGGAATAATAAAAGATATTCCAATAATGCAATTAGTAAGCGGTAGTTTCAAAGCCAACTACGAGTTTCTGAAATGGTTTAGAAAGCTATACACAGCTAATTCGTCAAAAGAATGCATAAGTCTAAAGTCCAATAATGTTAAGGACGAAAAACCTGAACTTATTGGAAAAGAAAATGAAACGAATGGCAATAAAGAAAGAATAGCAAAGCCGATTTCACGTCACCCCTTTAAAAGTGAATTATTAAAACCTGATATTGTTAAGAAACAAAAGCCAGAACTTGCTGCAGAAATTATTAAAACAAATGATAATAAAAAAGCACTGTTAATATCAAGTTTACGTCAGTCCCTTAAAGGTAAATTTACTTCAAATATCATTAAGAACCAAAAGCACAAACCAACCGGAGAAGTTAATAAAGCAAATGACAGCAAGAAACAAATATTTAAGTCAATTTCGCGTCAATCTCTTAAAAATATATTTTTAAGCTCCGATATTGTTAAAAACCAAAAATCTAAACTTGCTGAAGTAACTAATAAAGCAAATGACAACATAAGGAAAATACCAGCACCAGTTTCTCGTCAATCCTTTAAAGGTACGTCTTTAAAACCTGATATTGTTAAGAACCAAATACCTAAACTTGTTGTAGGAGATGTCGAAACAAATAACATTAAAGAAACTGTCCCGACGTCAATTTTGCGTCAATTCTTTGAAGAAAGACTTTCAATGCCTGATGTTGTTGAGAAGCAAAAACCCGAACTTGCTACTGAAGGTTATAAAACAAATGACAATAAGAAAACAATATTGCCGTCAATTTTGCATCAATCCCAGAAGTATCTAAAGGCTGATGTTACAAGAAACCAGAAACCAGACCTTGTTCTTGACGTGAATGAAACAAATAGTAATATAAGAGCATTTCCAAGATTAACGTGGCGTAACCCTTCCTCTGGAGTACTTGCGAGTAAAAGCTACAGTCAGGAATTGAAAGCGATATCTCACACTAGTGATTACAAGGATGCGAGTGGCGATGGTAAAATAAATGCTAACTAAATGAGCCATTTATGCGAAGAGGTATTTGTGAAAAAATCTACAGTTTATATGATTAATAAACTATTATCATTTTGTCCTTTTAATGAACATTATTTATAGGTCACTTACTAATGGTTGATACAGGACTATGTTAAAAAATAAAATTGTCGAGTATTCGTAAAATGAGGTACAGTCAAATCAATCATGAAATTCCATGTAACATAATGGAAACCTAACTTAACTTCGCATGTTACTAGAGTAAACTGGCGAACCAATTATTGTCATAAACTTATAGAGCTTTTGGGATATGACTCATAAAACAACTGCAAAATGTATAGAAAAATCGAGTGACCATTTAAAATTGAAGCATAAGAGATATAGTGTTGATTTGAAAACTAAAATAATAGGGATATGACTTATAAACCAACTGCAAAGTATATAGAAAAATCGACTGACCATTTAAGATTGAAGCATAAGAGATATAGTGTTGATTTGAAAACTAATACAATGTATTTTACTACTAAAATTTTAATATCATGATTTATCATTCAAGAAACGTATGACATTTGCAATAATAAATAATATATTTCAATACTTCAAATATTACAAGTATTTATTTTTTTTTCTATTTTTCGTTTACGATTCCGTTCAAATTCCAGTTCGAAGTCATAATAAAAAGTGATACCTAAATCAAAAAGGAAAACTATCATAATCACCTACGCATGATGCTTTGTATACTCTTCGGTTGTTAAGTTTATTAAACTGAATAGTTTAGATTTTTTTATAATACGTTAATTGAATTAATTTTAGCAAAAACTAATATTTCAAAATATTTCTTATTATTCCTTTTTTGCTCGCAACATAGTAGCTAACAGAATGACTTCACAAATTGACTTAAAACGGCAAAATAACAATAGTAAGTCACCCTTAAACCATGGAAGACATGGTTTGAAATTTTTCTACCTTACTAGAGTAAGAACATTTAGAATCCATTTAAAGTTGTAATATTACCTAAACTTTATAATTACTACTTACTAAATCTCAAAAATCTAAGCTGAACTATATTTTATGTGATATCAAATAGAAAATTACATTTATAACACTCATACGCCATGTTGCACGTAAATATTCAAAATTTGATGTTAAAATCACATTTTACAAAAATACCTGTTATGATATATTATTTTAATATTCAGATCTGGTATATGCAAGCAACTTAAGTTTAAATCATAATAATTTTCTCTACAGGACTTGATCATTAGCATATCTTTAGTGTTTATATACTTTTGCATACCAAAGCAATGCAATATTTTATATTACCCCAGGGTGTGTATTATCCAAAGCTACTTGCTAATGCTACCTTCTAATGCTACTTTCTAATGTTACTTTCGAATGTAGTGTGAACATACAAACAATAGCAACAGAGTGCTACAAATAATACAAAAAAAAACATCAAAAAATATAACTAAACTTTAGGTAACACACAATAAACGTAAGGTGATTCAAGCTATGCTCCCCAATATAAAGAAAAAACTCAAATATCCTTCCTTGCTAACATTACATGTGTATGTTAGTAGTGTGGTTAAATATTTTCATATGGTGTACACATATTTATTTGCGTGTGTTTGTATATTAGAGGAAATGGCGACAAAAGTGCAAACGGAAGCACTTTAAAGTGTACGGAAGCAATGCAAGTGCATAAGAGTCCCTTTTTGGCTTATTAAATGGGAATGTGCAATGCTCATAATGGTCAGTAATTGAAGCAGAACATTTGAAAACTCTAAATGGGCTTAAGGAGTATACTTATTTTTTTTATTTATATATACAAAAATTCTAGAAATATGTATACTATATTTTCTAGAATACATATATATTCTGGAAATATTTGCTTATATTGAACACAAATCAAAGACATTGTAATAGCTTAATTATAAAAAATTATACGTTAATAAAACAAAAAAATGAAGAAAGTTGCATAGAAAGACTTTAATACAAACACACTAAAGCCGCTATGTTTAATTTAGTTTAAGAGCATATTACAGCGAATCCTTTAACGACTATATTAACTGATATGGCAATATACTCTAATTTATTCACATTAGCCAACTAAATAAAGATATCTTAAACAAATTATTTTTCATTTAGCTAAGACTAGAAACTCAATATATTTTTTAAAGTTTTGTGTAATTCGGAATATTTCAGTAAACATCACTTCAATCTTTAGCAGTTTGAGCGCAATGAACTATTGTTAAAACAGCCTTTGATTCCCAATAATAAACCCATAGATTTGCAAATAACTTTCTCGAAAGGAACACCACTCATTTGTTATTGGTTGTAGGTGCTACATCAATGACTTTGAGAATGACAGTGAAAGATAAGCAAAATGGAAATAAAATTACCAATGCTAAAAAGTCAAAGAAAAACATTCAATAACAGATAGCTATAGAGAAAACAGAACTATTTTCATATACATACGTTTTTGTTAAATTTTAAATTTTCTTTTATTCTACAAACAATATTTTCTAAATCATTTAAAGACTTTAATAGTATCCTTAATTTTATTTAAGACGTACAAATGGTTTAGTCAATTCTCAATACAATTGAATAGTAAAATAAATAGATTATTATGGCCTGAAATATCATCTTTATAAACTATGTTTATCTGCCAATTCGGAATGCAGATAATGCTTCAAAGATGAGAAAACTACCATGCATATTATTTGTGACTTTAACAATGCACAGAAGAAAATTGTTTTATATGGAATTTCTGTCACCACAACGGATTAAGAGCTCTTCTCTAGATTTAGTTCTAGACTTTGTCTACAAAGCTTTGTGTAATCAATAATGGAAATGGCACAATAAGATTCTTCTGGCCGTAGTACCGGTTGCTGGACAATTTTACGTCAAAGCCTTAATAATAATAATAATATTTTTATGGCAATTTAATTATTTGTTATCCTCAAAGGGTACGGCTCGTGATTTGTATATTTAAAAACAAACAATTGGTTTAAATTTGTTACATTACAAAATACATTAGTATGTTGTTATCAACTAACTTTATTAATTAATTTAGTTTTTAATAGAATTGAACAAAATTTACCTAAAATATAAAAATATTCCGTTTAACTACAAAAATTTTAATTTTATTTATTTTGGTTCACTTTAAATAAAATTGCGATAATTTTTTTATTAAAAACGCCATTCAATCGAAATCAAAAGCACAATGATTGAACATTTTGTATAATGCAATTGCACAATTTAGTTCCGGTCAATATCTGTGCTAATGAACAAAACTGCATGATTGGAAAAAGCAATTAAGGCTAAATTAATAAATTTAACCACAACTGGAAAAAAATATAGTTTTTCTAAATTTTAATTGTTGTGATATAGCAGCAATAATATCAATTTTTGGAATAAAGTTTTATGTACTTAATAGTTCAAATTGCTATTATATAGCAATATATATCCGACACAGATAAAAGTAATACGGGACTGTGTTTGATGTCAACCATTCTACTCCCACCTCCTGTCTTCGTTTTCTGTTGCATGTTGCATAGCATAGAATATTCGAAAACTACATAGAAATTGGATTTAATTTATATTGATGTATTATTTTTTAAACATCAGTTCAATCACAGTGTGATATTTATTTTCCACTGTCTTCACAAAAATTTAAGCCTAGCAAGTGATAACAATTATTAGGAATATATTTGATAGTTAAATCAGCTAATTATTTTAGAGCTATATTCTAAAGAATTATTTATAAAAAAATACATATCAATACAATGATGTCTCTATTTCATAATCGCCAAGTAAAGCTTTGGCATAAAAGGTTCGACACTGTCATATTGTTGGCAAAGCCTTGTTAATATTTTCTAATATAAAGTAATTAAAATTTATATAAATTAATTGTCTAAAACATCTTAAATTAACCAGTTCTTTAAACTGTATTTTTATAATTTCTGAACAATCACAAAATGTCTTATTGTGACCTGAACTGAATCTAACACAAAACAAAATATTCCCGATACTTTTTTCACCTATTCAGAGGTCTTCACCCTAATAGACCCCCTTTTTCTATTAACAAGTTTTTACTAATTTTCATTTAAATTATGATTTATAGAAGTATACATAACTCACCAAAGCTAAAGTCATACATATATACAACTTTACTTAAAAAAACATTTACATTAAACATTTACAAATATTTATTTTAAAAAAATGTCACTCTCAACTTTATCTTTTACTTAAAATTTATATTACGCATAGTTGCATTTGAAATGCAATTATCTCTGAATTTCGGGCTTCGTTTCAACGAAGTTAAGACCAATTTCTTAATTTCTTTCTAACCTCAAAACAGAATTTTGTATGGAAAATTCAACTCAATTTCACTGAAACGAAGATGAAATTAAGATATTTGTGAAATGAAGGGGTGTCAGAACATAACATAAAACTATTTTATTTATTACAAAAACAAATGCTAGATTAAATTTCTTTCAGTTGAAATACTAATTTTTCGTTTATTACATTAATCACAACACCAATATCTTTCTATAATGAAATCGCTTTAATTTTTTTACTAAATTTTTCTGCATCATCCTGAAAAGATTAATAATTCCTTTTAATAAAGCTTTTTTATTATAATTAATTCATATCCTAAGACCACACAAACGTTTTTTCTTTTAGATGACTTCTGGCGTATACTTGTGACTACCGAAAAATACTGCTTTTCAGCAAGACAAATGTATTCCTTAGCAATTAATATTATTGTTTTTCATTTGTCATAAGGTATGAATACACACAATAAATTAAATATTCGTTAAATTTGGGAAATCATGGCTTTTGTGAAAAAGTGATTACTCATAGGTCAGAAAGGCCACAGAAATTAAATTACTAAGTTATGAGAATACAGGCTTTGGCTTATTGACTCCTAGACATAAATATTATTTTAAGTGTACATATGTACATATTCATAATACAATTAGATTTATTGATATTATAACATATTTATTTAATGCAATTGCAACTTTGATATTTGTTAAAAGCAAATAATAACACATTCATACTGTCTCATTTAGGCGATTTTGCTTATTATAGCCATTAATAAGGATGATTTACCATATAAAAATCTTTCATATAAACGAGTTCATCATCAATAAATAAGCTCATTTAAGGCAAAATATGTCGAAAGCAATCCTTAACAATAAATTTCCCACAAGGGAAATTACCAAAATTTGGAATTTGTGTCATATATTTTTTACATATAATGTAAACAAGGAACAGCTGAGCTATCAACAAAGGCACTGAGGAAGTAATTATTTAATAAAATCTATATTTATATTAATTAAATATGTAATTGATGTATGAAATGTATATAAATGATTTAATATATTAATTATATATTTAATTTTTTTGTATGATATACTATTGAGTAAAGTTTATAGAAGTTTACAAAAGTTCTATCAGTTGCATAAATGAGCTCATTATAATGCGAACGTTCACTCATTTATATAAATGAGCAATATAAATGCTTAAATGAGATAGTGTGAATATGCTATAAATATATTAGGATTATAACAGGAAACTAAAATCGAAAAAAGAAATAAAGGATTATAGTAACAAAGGCCTGAATTTTCTGGTTTTGCTAAAACCAGGTTTATAAGGTTGAGTTAATATAGAAAATATATACACATACACTTAACACAGACTACTTCTTGACAAACTTAACAGAGAATGTTCATTTTTTGTGTGTGAATTTTTTTTAATATATGAAAAGAAACTCATTATTGCATAACAAGAAAAAGTAATATTATCTCTCAACTTATCACATCATTCACTAAAACCTATAATGAAACCGAAGCTGACTGAAGCAATAACATTTGTTAATTTTACAATTACGACAGAACGTTGTTTCATTTCAAGCTATTAACGTGTGTATCTGTAGCTGTTTGCAATTAATTAAAATTAAGCTTCAATTAATTTCATTGTGAATAATGTAACGTGGAAGAGTAGTGTCATTATCCTTTGAGCAAGTATTTTAAAATTCCAGTGTTGCATTACACGTGAGTATAAAATCCAATTAAAAAGAGTTCACTTTCCCATACCGCGTGAGTTATTATGCCAAGTGTAAACCAACAATCAACTGATGAACTCTTTTATTTACAAACTGACAGACGTAATAAACAAAAAGATTGACAAAACAACGCATTATTTCAGACATATTACATATTTAGTGCATAATTAATGCTCAGTAGAGTATTCTTGACATTCGCTTATTATTCGTGAAAAGAACGAATATATGTACTTTTTATTTTTATCTTTGTTAATTTTAAAGTCATAATACGTTATTAAAATTGCTTGATATTATTTTTAAAATTATTAAGATATCTAAGTTATGGATTTTTTATTTTAAATACCTTTAAACAATTAGATAATAAATAGCTATATATATATATGTATAGATATCTATATTTCTATATATCAAAATAGAAATTTGAAATTTCACAATTAAAACAAAGTTTTCAAAATGATTGAAACAAAGTAACATATATTTTTTAATCATATTTTATTTCAATTTATTGATATCAAATATATTTTTCGAAGTTACTGAACTTAGATTAAAATTAAAACAGCTGCAATCATGTTTTATTTGCTATAACCAAGGTAACAAAAGAATAGAGGTTTGGACTCAATCGTTTCCGATTCAAGTAAGTTTTCTTTTTATAACTCCACACTTTTCAATTTTTTAATGGAACGATCCTAACTGCAGATAGTTGTACAAATAAAAAGAGTTAAAACAGCCTTTGCATCTATTATCTTCTATTTTAAAGTATTCTTACCACAAAATTAAAGCAATATCTCATATAACATCATAATATTTACAGTTATGATATATTGTAAGTGTTATATTGAAAGTTTATAAATTTTTTCAATAATTGTTAAATTTCATTTCAAAAATGTTTACATTAGAATCACATTCAAACATATATTGGTACAGAATGTTAGCAATCCTTGAAGTGTGCAACCCGCACCGATTTTTAATGCCCCGTGTGTCTATTCTGTAAGTACTTAAGTTTTAAATTTTAAATGAATTACAAAAATATCTCTTTAAAGTTTGCAACAGCCAAATGCATCTTTTAAGAAGGACAAAGATGTGTCAGTAAGTCATTTGAACACAAAAAATTTATATTAATAACAATATAATTTCATAGAAATTAGAGCAACTTCTGAGTCTCCGGAAGAAAATTATTAGTCTTAAAAAACGCTTCGATGAAATGGAAAAGAAGATTAATAAAAAAATTAAAAAACTCGAGGAAGAAATGGCAAAAGCTAAAACACAAACCGAACAAGCCCAACAAACTGAAGAGAAAAAGTGATACAGATTTTAGCACCTCAAGTACTGCTATTTATTTTTTATTTACAAAAATATGTAAATATAAGTACATATCTTGAACTTTAATGTTCTCCAGTCCTCAGTTAATAAACGAATGGCATGGATCGCATAATTTTAAGTTTTAAATTGTTTTTTAAAAGAAATTTATATTATTGTTTGTTCAATACTAATAATTAATAATATGATTCAATACTGTATTACATCTGTATACAAACTTCTACTGGGCTAAGTATGTTGTCCTATGCACAGATACATAAAATAAAAAATAAAGTAGTATTTTACACATTATTCAAATTGGACCTATATTTTCAATTTAGAATATAAAATTAAATAAATGTTGTCAGATTATTCCACCATTTAACCTTCAAAATAATCCACACCACTTCAGTGTATTACAGTAGGTGGAAAGCATCGAAATCCCCAGTATGAGACTTGAGTCCAATAAAACCACCTCTTAGGAATGAATGGAGAAAATTTCGACAGCAGTGTGAAAACATCATTCCAGTAATCACGGGAGAGAAATGAGAGCAGATAAGCTTAATACATAGCGGGTTACATTTAACCGCTTCAGTGTATTAGAATTTGAAACCGTAAATGTACGAATTTGCAAAACTTGGAATACTCTTAAAAGCTTTGCAACTATTGCTAGAGAGCTGTCAGTGTTCAAGCTCTCCCAAAATGAGAAGTTGTATTTTGGATATATATCACACTAACTTTTAACTATAAATATGAACGTTTAAAGTTTATAGCTATTGTGTATAACTTCTACTTTTTTATTATAACGACACACCATCTCATTTAGGCGATTTTGCTCATTATATCCACTAATGAAGATGATAATCAATTCATTTGTATACACATTAAACTGTTAAATCTTTTCAACTCAAAGTTGAGATGAAATCATCACCTCTTAATACAGTATTCATCACAAAAGCTCGACAAACATCTTGAAAATAATTCGTCCACTCCTTCTGAAATCATTCATTATTTCACAATGCCATAGTATTTACCCACAGTGATTTTAAGTAATACCATTGGAAAGGTGGAATATATTATTTGAGAACATTTTATACAGCTGCTTTTAAACTACAGAAGAATGTAGTCTGTTTTTTATATGTACTATATAGATGACACATTACTCCTAATACATGATAAAACTATTTCTCTGTGAAAGCCATGTAAGGTGACGATGGAGGAAGAATTACATAAAACATAACTTACATATCTTACAAGCATCCGGTAGATAAGGTTCTGGGATTCTTAAATCTTAGAGTAAATATATCATCTTTGGAATGATTAACATGCTGAAATAATGTGCTACCACCGCAATCTGCAAAATAATGATTCTAATTGCTCAAGAGATAAATCCAATACGTGGATATCAAATAATATTAAAATAAGATTGATTAAAAAACAAACAGAGTACTAGCTCGCAAAGTGCGAAACAATGCGTTCATAAATGACCTTTTGCGTTAGCTAGTGATACTTACTGAACGGTAGATACTCCGTCTTTTGATTAAAAGCCAAAATATTAGCGTTTCATGCTATCCTAACCTCAGAAGAGGTTAATAATTTCCGCCCAAGTAGTCTCACAATGGAGTGCGTAAATAATCTCTAATCCCCTTTCAAGCAGAAAAACCATACTGGTCATACAAATAACCCCTAAGTCGAATTATTTAGTAGTATTTTTTCACCTATACTTTTTAGCATTTATTTGTTCACACTCTAAGGTACCAATCAGTATCATAACACCTTGAGACAATTTCATAATCTTTACAGCGCACTTTACCTATTATAAGAATATGCAGATAAACGTTGCTAACAAGTAAATAGATCTTTGGAACCAGAACATGTTGTATCAATTTTTAATCTGAATATTGTATATATTACAAAAGTGTCTTTTCTCTGTACTACTTGGCAAAATTCTCTGATTTCTCGTATTTCTAATTTTCCTAATTATTAAAACTCATTTTCATCTAAATATGACATTATTTGTAAAATAAATCCAACAAAATCATAAATAATTTTAATTGAAGGAATGAGTTCTATTCGACGAATAAACAATAAATAGACAATAAATGCAAGTACTCAAGAACTAATATTAAAACAATTTAAATGATTATATATACTTTATTTAATAATATATAAACGAACAAATCTAAAATCATTGAAAATTGAAAAGTGTAAATTCATTTTTTAATAGCAGATATCTTTATTTAACTGATGGATACCCACTTAAATTTTCTTTTCTCTTCGTATCTGTAAATATAAAGATTTTAAAAAGATTATGTACTCAAAAAAGAAAACTTCTCACATAATTTTCTTTTGTACCTTCTACTTCTTCTAGTTCTATTAATATTGTTAGATGGACTCCCTAATCAGATTCACGAGGTTCATTTAAAATCTTGTACATAACGTCCTCCTTAACGTGCTTTAAATATAATTGCTTAGATATTATTGCCTTATACTTTTCTATTTTTTTATCAATTATTGATAATTCGTATTTTAGGAAGTTTGTTTTAAGATGCAAAGCAACCAGATTTTGATTTATTTCATTTTTTCGATCATCTATAGCTGAATTTTTTATATTTGATATTTTATTAATATTTCTATTTATATTATTCTCACACAACGATTTCATATCAATTATTTCATAGTCTTCCAAAGATGAAACAGATCCTGAAAATGTTTTTGTACCATCATTTATACCATTAGTTTTAGACTTTTTCGCTCCAAAGTCTAAGGATGGTGAAATTGTGCGTTTGCGTTTATTAGAAACTGACTGATCAACAACACTAGTAATTTTCATGGATGATATATCTGCGCAACTCGATGCGTAAGCATTATTTTTCAAATCACTTTTCTTTTTTTCAGCACTAGAGTCTTCTAAAAGCGAAACGGAATTGCTAGTTCCCGGCATGCCCTCATAAATTAAATTGCTACTTTCTGAACGTGTATCGATATATTGTTCAGTTTCATTCTCTGCTGGAACAATGTTACTGATATCCAATTCATTTTCACTTGATAAGTTTGCATCATTTATTTCGGATTTAATATTATCCGAATTTTTAACAAAACCATTTATATTTATATTTTCACCACAGTCCTCTAAAGATGACGTAGAGCGTTCACGTTCGTTGACAACTGATTCAAAACTTATATCTGACGTGCTTCCTTCTGAACATGAATCAGAAAGCGATTTACTTTTATGAGGTACAAACCACACATTTTCACAACTGCTTTTAGATTGGTCTTCCCCAGACATTACGAATAAGCCCAGCGGCGTTTGTTCTAACCCTTCTAGTTTTTGAACATATTGAACATTATACATACCACCATCTCCCGAAACTTGTTCTGAACTTATATCTGGCATGACATCTTCTGTACAAATATCAGCAAGAGATTTAGTTTTATGAGGTATAACCCAAACACCTTCACGACTGATTTTAGATTGATCTGAACTTATATCTGAGATGACACCTTCTGAAGATATATCAGCAAAAGATTTAGTTTCATGAGGTATAACCCAAACACCTTCACAACTGATTTTAGATTGATCTGAACTTATATCTGAGATGATACTTTCTGAAGATATATCACCAAAAGACTCGGTTTCATGAGGTATAACCCAAACACCTTCACGACTGATTTTAGATTGATCTGAACTTATATCTGAGATGACACCTTCTGAAGATATATCAGCAAAAGACTCGGTTTCGTGAGGTATAACCCAAACACCTTCACGACTGATTTCAGATTGATGTGAACTTATATCTGACATGACATTTTCTGAACATATATCAGCAAGAGATTTAGTTTCAAGAGGTATAATCCAAGCACCTTCACGACTGCTTTTAGATTGATCTGAACTTATATCTGAGATGACACCTTCTGAAGATATATTAGCAAAAGACTCGGTTTCGTGAGGTATAACCCAAATGCTTTCATGACTGATTTTAGATTGATGTGAAGTTATATCTGACATGACATTTTCTGAACATATATCAGCAAGAGATTTAGTTTCAAGAGGTATAATCCAAGCATCTTCACGACTGCTTTCAGATTGGCCTTTCACTGAAATTACAAAAAACAACATTGTACAGGTTGATCTAACACTTTCGATTTTTTAACGTATTTAAGATTGTACACACCATCATATTCCGAAACTTGTGGCTGCACAGTCAAGTCCACGTCAGCGTTTTTGATGTTTCCTTCACAACACGCAACTGAATCGTTAAAATCCTCAGTATCGCTTTCTGGAGCATATTCTATAATATCTGACTCGAAGAAATCCATTTCTTAACAGTTTTCAATACACAAAAAATTTTTTTTGATGCTTTCGTCTCTGAAGTTTTCAACAAACAAATGCTGCAATCTAATGCAAATTACTAAGCTGTCAGTATTCCTCACACATTCACAATAGATCGAAAAGACTTATGCACAATAGTGCAAGTTATACATAATAGCAAAGAATACTTTCCTTTGCTTTATAGTATAACTAAAAAAAATTATGTGTGCTTGTAAGTTTAAATAAATTGATCAAATTCTTAACTAAATTATTGATTAATGATTATTAATATTTAGTGAAAATAAAAAACAAATTAGTTAATATGATTTAACTATTAATTTGCAAGAAATTCTGCACTTTCGTTATATGAAATTATTGCATAGGTTAATAAATGTACAAAATATACATGATTATATAATATACGAAATATTTAATAAAAACAATTAATGTTTAAATATGCATGGCCATCTAAAAATGAACGTAATAGATAGAGAGATTACTTTGATATCAAATTAATGCTTTGTGGGCTTTGAATCCTTGCTTAAAATAATAAAAAAAAAACCTATATTTAAAATTTTGGTAATTAATTTTGTGGGAAATTTATTTTTAAGGGTTGCATTTGACATTTTTCCTTTAAATGAGCTGATTTATTGATAATGAGCTCATTAATATGAAAGATTTTGGTATGGTAAATATTCCTCATTAGTAACTATAAGAGCCATATTATGTAGAGTGTCTCGGTCATGGCTTGAGTAAAACTGTTGTTGTTTTCAATGCAAATTAAAAAATTGATATGTGATAGAAAAAACAATATGTCGGTTTAAATTCCGGCATGAGAGCCGGTGTATGGTATTAGTGTCTCGGCACTAATGCAAAACAGTATTATTTTATAATAAATTTCAGAATTTACGCATTTGATCTTACTATAATCGCTATAATCTTACTACAATCTTACTTTCCGATTTTACAGAAAGGCATAAAATTTTGTAAGTACTGTTAACAATTATTATAAGCTAATATAACAATGTATTTACATTATTACAGCTACTATGAGTTTTTTTTTGCTAGTTATTTTTGGTGGCAAATTGAAAGTGAGCAGATTTCAAATTAGGCACAACCAAAAAGTCCCAAAACATTGTAAAAATATCAAATTGGCAGTATTGACGTGATATTTTACGAAACATATATTTTCGGCTTAGTCCGAAAAAGCAAATTTTGCAGTGCCCAAGACGTACACAACATAGACCTTAAACGCAGTAATAGTCTTGCTGCACAAAATATCACCAGTCCTTTAAGTTAAATAATTATTTCAAATCGATTTTTATTCAAGCTCAATCTTATTTCACATATAGTAAAACATTTAATATTTGTGATATACAAATTGTATCTGAATTTAAACAGAAATTCAGTACAAATTTTTGACCAAAAAACAGATATAGGTATATATTATTTCAACTGATTCTTATACATACATGTGTGGGTGCATAAAGCTTTGCACTACAGAAAATATTAATATTTTTGTATTTATTATTTGAAAAGCATGTTTTTTTATATATTTTTTATATAAAATAACCTGCTATTTGAAAAAGCATAAATATTTTATTAAAAATATCTCAACCCGTAAACGTTAAAAATAAGCAACAAATATGAATCCGTCACATTAATACAATCAAAAATGCATTAAAAAAATGTTATGTAGTTCAGCGACGTCCACGATATGCACTTCAGTATTTGATATTCTGAAAAGGTAAAAATTTATAAATGAATTTCGAAAAATATTTGGATTATTCTGCTGTAGTCGATGATATGCGAAACTGCATCCGTAAATGTTGCATAATGAAATGCAGTTTTTTTTCATATATTTTTTTTTTATTAAGCTACCAAAATATTCACCCGCACTCACTTTAAAGTGAAAAATGTAGTAAAACCATCCGCATTTAATTTGTGCAATATCACTGTGTAATAATATTACTGTGTAGTAACCTTTCATTGTTTCAATATAATAAGTAAACGATATTGCACGTTTTATTCACAAATTCAGAAGAGCAGTCAAATGATGTTTTTATACTACTTGCATTTCAGTTTGAAGGAATTTCGTTTTGAATGGTTACTAAAATATTAAGCTTGAGATATATAAAATTTGCAGTAAAATTATAATAATTTTAACAATACTAACGAGTTTGTTTTGATATTTATTTCATAAAAAATATGGAGTTTCTCATTCTCCATCTCTAGCCTTTATTACATCAAATATGTTATATATGCACGTTTTATTCATATTAAAGTTTAGAGTAAGTAATATCAATAGATACTTAATATACTCAAGATATTGAGTAATATCTCAATATGTAGTTAAATGCAATGCATATAAAATTATGCTGAATAATTTATTCTTTAAGTACACTGTTTTGAAAAAAATGATACTTAAGTACTGAAAAAAACGCAGCAAAGATGATTCAGGAGCTTTACTATATATATCTGCAACATCGTTTAATTTTGTATGTGGCTCTTATGAACCAATGTAACACTTGTAAATTTTAAAGGTGAATATGCTTACAAATCCACCAAAAAATATAAATATTTCTTCTTAAAAGGCTTACTGCAGTTCTAGCTGGTTACTGGTGTATAGGAACTTATACAGACAAATTTCGACCTCGTTTTAATACTCACTGTAGATGTTGTGGAAACTTACAGAAAAAAGAAAGTGCAAAAATCTGACCTTCAGAAAATATATATTTTTATGGAAATACTTTTTTGATAGTTTGTTAGATTGTTCATCGATTAAGACAAAAGATCTATTAAAAACTCTAAAGTCGATACCATGGATTCAGTTTATTTCTTTTTATATCTTAAGGTTCTTATGGAAATACTTTTTTTATAGTTTGTTAGACTGTTCATTGATTAAGACAAAAGATCTATTAAATTATTTAAATTCAATAGCATGGATTCAGTTTTTTTTTCTGTCACTGCAACCAATCAACCAACCAATCTCCTTAAAGGCACAACTTATGATATTTGTTACTTAACTATATTGTTTCAGCCAACATAGACAGACAAAGTAAATCTAGTTACTGTAATGGAAGTTTAATCGAAATTTTTTTGTTGCTGTCATTTTCAATCATTTCAAATTTGATGTGACCATGACTGTCTGCATAACATGACACTAATCGTCATATTAACTTTCACAGTATAATTTATAATTTATATTTCATCGACGTACTCATACGTATTATAAAAATCACAATAAATAAATTTATAATAAAAAAATCTGTTTAAAATTTGTTAAATAAAATAAATGAAACAATAGAATATATTACCGGTGCGGTGGTAATATATTCAGCATTATCCACAGCATTTATGAAACTATCGTAATGTACATCATTTATTATTTAACTCGCTATCCGCTAAATATCTAATAAATCCCAACCTAAGCGAATAAAGTTTCCTGATGATTTTCATTTAATTACCAAAAATTGATGAAAATTTAATGAAAACTCAATCAAAACACAATTTGCAAATTTTTATTTTTCCTAACAAACCTCAAATCCAATTATGAAGTAATAATTTGTGTAATTGTTTATAATATAAATTTCGCCCAATTATAATTCCAATTAGAGTTTATGTGGCATAGAATGCATTGCATTTTATATACGAAACCAAACAGCCGCTAAGCACCCACACATACACACACACACACACACAACAATCCAGCAATCCAGCATACAAGCATACACGCGCAAAGCAATCAGCGCATAAATGCTGACTTATGCATAAATCGGATAAAATTATTGTGTCAGCAGTTTAACGCGCTCATGGCAAATTATAAAGTAACAACAAAAACAACAAACGCAGACAAAAGCAAAGAAAGTCAGACAAAGTCAGACAAAGTTGCACAAAGAGTATGAACGCATGAATACAATGAGACGAACAAAAGCTAAGAAGCTTATTTACTGCCGCATTAACCGCAGTCACACACACCAACTCAAGTGTGTTTGTGTGGGGCAACAAACATAAAATATTAGAATTTTTGTTTTTTATTTTATTTATAGTTGTGTTCGTATAGTTGACATATTTTTCTCCATTTAAATTGTGCAGCGTGTAATTACACAAAAATTCAGTTGTTAACACATGCATTTGGTCGTTGTATGCTTAGCGCACCGAAAAATATGCACGAAGCAGTCAAAGGGAAAGCGTTTGACGTGAGAAAAGTGCAAAGTGGCATTAAATTTTTTAAGAGCTTTTTTTTAAATATTTTTTTTTTAATTTAAATATTTAAATATGTGTATATTCGTCACTTTTAAAATGTTTACAGTTTAATTGTTGTGAAAAGCATTAAATATTAATAACAGATAGTAAACATATTTTAAGTTGTCTGTGGATTTAAGCTTTTTTGCAATACTTGTCTGGTACAGTCATACGTTAAAGTTTAAAACTTTAATTTAATTTAATTTTTATAAAAATAATAATAGGCCTTTTCTTTTATGAGTGCTTATTTTAAAACTAACATATGAAACAACAGCACTACTGACTTATTAAGTCCAACCTTTTTGAAATTGCTTAGTTAATCAGCAACTCAAATCGCATGATTGCCAAGACTAAAAATTCGTCTATTGTGAACGATTTTTGGAAGTACATACGAAATTTTTAGTTAACTGTCAACGAATGACTTCGTTAATTCTTCGTATGTCGTGTCGTCATTATTCTTAACAAATACGTTATTTTTTTCTATTTGTTTTTTTACTGTTAAAAGGCATGAAAATTCATATTTTATTCAAAAACATGTAAAAATGTTCTTACCAATAATCACAAACAATTATTAATCATCCCTTATAGTAAGCTCGAAACCATTTTATAACTTATATGTATTGGTTTTCGTAGATCCTATGTGGAGCAAAAGGCCACAATTACATTGTTCCATTCCATACTCCTGGATAGCACCTTCACTTCTTCCCAGATTTTTTCAGACCTAGCAGCTTCGAAACCAAGTTGCCTGCGACATGTACGAGCCAGCCGTTCTCTTTGTCAGCTTCCCTGCGGATTGCAGTCTACGGAAATGCGGTTAATATCGTCTTGGGGCCTAACCAGCTCCACTTGCGCATAAGTATCTCCTGAGAAACTTTTAACTATCGCTTCTAAGAGGTTATTCGAAATAGTTTGCAGCCAAAACACACGCAATATTCGACGCAGACACCAATTGAAGAAGACTTGCAATTTTTGTATATCTCGTGGTGCTGCTTTCCACG